AGACCAAGACTCCCAACCAATCAGGATGAAGAAAAAACCATTCTGGCACAGCAGTAGGCTAGCACCTAATTTAAAACAGAAACGGCTGTGAAAGTCTGACTCACAGACGAACACAGTACAGAAGCCTGATGATGGCAGATGAGATTCTGCCGAAACGTTGCTACAACTTTAAAAGCATAACTACAATGACATGGGAAAACACCCGAACAAAGCTGAATACCATACATATAGGTACCCGCAAAAACTTAAGAAAAAATACACACACAGAGACACAGATACAGACACACACACACACTCCCTTTTTATGATCCTGTAATCTCTTAATTTGAAGTAAAGTTGAGGTGACTGGATGCAGCTGAGAATTTACTGGCAGGATGCCCTTTCTGATGCCTATTTGGAGTTTGCACTATAAGAGAGAAATATCTGCCGCTACCTAGGATTGAACTCTCAACCTTCAGAGTGGGAGGTAAGCACCTTTACTTCTATTTAGAAACATATATTGACATTAGCCTTGTCTGATTTGTTAACAAGATAAAGTTAAGAGAAAAAATGACCTTGCCAGTGATGTTGCGATAACACAAAAATATGCTTCTGGGATTCATAATATAGTGAAATGCAATTTTGAGTATCTATTTTCCACGATTATTTTTACTCAAGTAATAATGATAAACCTTTATCACTACCTCATAGCCTGATTTGGATTTCTACTATAAAACAGAAGTATTCACATATAATTCAAGTTTGAAGTAAAAATGGTATTACTGGCAGGATAACCATGAAAAAACATTTCTGGATAGCATGCAGAAACAGATTCAATGGTTCACACATAACATTTGAATAAAACCTTATACTGGAAAGGGAGATTCTTATTTGCTATAGAAAGGGATAATATTCAAGGATTATTCTCCATAGTATTATTGGCATAATAGTAACCAGCAATTGATGCTAATATACTGTATATCCCATTATTATTTTAATTTCTACACCCATAATACAAAGAATAAAATAGAAGAGGAAAATTTATTCATTTTTAACAGGTTCCACATCGATACTAGAATAGCCCAAACATTTACAGGTAATTTGCCATATCCACAAAATTAAAAACGTAAAGAGAATTTCAGAAGTTTTTGATGCACAAAAGAGGTATAAAGTTTATCTTGCCCAAAGTGTCATTCAAGCATATGATGCATGCTTAGTCTAAGGAAATTTGAGCTCACTTGAAGGTTAAGTTGTGCTAAATTCATTATCTTCACATTACACTTCATTAATTAATTAATTTTTATTTTTCTGTTGTTAGTTTGAAGCAGGAGTGTGATTCTACCTCGTCAGCCTGGTTCCATAGAACCAGTTGTTATGATTCTGCCCAGTTCGGACAACTGGCAAATTGCACCACTGGCTGGCCCCGCCCCGCCCCACCCACTCACTCCTTACCTGGCATGCATACCATCCAACTTGCCTGAATTAGCTTAAGAAATTTCTTTTCGGCCACTTTTTCGAGCTAGTCACGGATCACAAGCCTCTCCTGGGTCTCCTAGCAGGAGACAAACAGACTCCCCAAGTGCTGTCTCCCAGGATGACGAGGTGGACCCTTTTCCTAGCAGCATACTCGTATAAACTCATACACCGTCCAGGAAAAACATTATCCCACGCAGACGCCCTCAGCCGCTGCCCCCTGCCTGCTCCAGCTGAAGACCCTGCCCCGGTCTACGCTATCTTCGAGGTCACCCAGCTTGACCTTCCCATCACTGCCATCATCGCCTCCAAATCCAAGGCAGACAAAACGATCGCCCAGGTACTGGACTGGGTGGGGAGGGGGTGGCCGGGAAATAACATTGAAACCAAATTCACGCCTTTTAAGACCCGTCAACAGGAGTTATCGAGCTTGCAGGGCTGTTTGCTGTGGGGCACCCGAGTGGTCATCCCGACCTCACTTCGCACCCGAGTCTTGGAGGCATTACACGAGGGCCACCCTGGCATCGTCAGGATGAAGGCGTTGGCACACAGCTACGTCTGGTGGCCAGGCCTCGACGATGACATCATCAGATGGGTAAGCTCTTGCCATCCCTGCCAAGAATCCCGACCATCCCCTCCAATCGCCTCCCCCACAAAGTGGGAAAGCGCCAGCGCACCTTGGTCCAGGATTCACATTGACTTGGTGGGCCCGATTCACGGCAAAATGTTCTTGGTGGTCATGGATTCTTACTCAAAGTGGATTGATGTGGCCCAACTATCCACGACCACCACACAAGCAGTTACTAAGGTGTTGACCCACCTGTTCGTAACACACGGGTTACCAGACTCTATTGTTTCCGACAATGGCCCCCAGTTTGCCTCAGCCGAGTTCAGTCGTTTCGCCGCTAACCTGGGCATCCGCCACATCTTCACGGCTCCCTTTCATCCTGCCAGCAACGGTTTGGCAGAGAGAGCCGTTAGGACCACTAAAGAAGCATTAGCAAGGTTCAGCAAGGAAGACTGGCACCACAGACTCTCCCGTTTCTTGCTGAGCCAGCACTCAACCCCGTGCACAGTCACCAATAAATCACCGGCTGAACTCCTGATGGGTAGACGCCTGCGAACAGTGCTGGACAGGCTTCACCCTAATTACTGCCCTGACTCTCCCCTCGCTTCAACGTCGGGGGTTAGACATTTTGTCTTACAGGAACCCGTGTTCGCGAGGAACTTCGCTGGAGACCCTCTGTGGATCCCGGGCGAGGTCGTGGCCATCACTGGCCCCAGGTCGTACCGAGTCAGACTGGAGGATGGCCGCATCTGGAAAAGGCACCTGGACCAGCTACGGAGGCGCCACGCCAACGTTGACGCTTGGGCGCAGATCAGTCCAAGGCCGATGCACCAACCATACATCAACACCAGCACCGGTGACCCGTCACCACCTCCAGCCGAGCCGGGGAGTCTGGACATGGACCGTGACCGTCAGATGACCGACCAACCCGAATCAGCAGACGAAGACGCATCTCCATCGATCAGCTCTACGACTCCCGAACCAACGCAGACTGATGAGCAAGTTCGCGATCCCCCACCGGTCCAACCTTCCGCTACAGACTCTGAGTTACCAGACAACCCACCTGAATTGCGCCGTTCAGGGCGCCAGCACAGACCACCCGCTTATTTAAATGACTATGCGTGTTCGCATCTGGGGGGAAGGGGTGTTATGTCCCTGGAACTTGCAAGAGTTCCCACCCAGGTCCGCTCACGCTGCGGGGGCGTTTGCTGTCCCTCATTGGCTGGTTTCCCCCAGCAGCCGGCTATAAAAGCGGGCTGCGGGGTTCAACCAGTCGCTGATCGCTGCGAGCCAGTTCCAGGCTTGGCAAGCACGTTCAGTCCTTTATTATTCTAATAAAGTATTGTTGCATCCATGCCCTGGTTCAGCCTCTCATTGCTCAACTACAACACAATCCTTGCTCCACCCCCCCCATTAGCAGCAGCCAATTATCTGCTTTTGTGGAAGGGAAGGGAAAGGAAAGGAAAGGATGGAAGGCACAAAGGAGCAAAGGAGGAAGAAAGGGAAGGAAGAAAAGAAGGATTTCCAATGCTCACTGCCAAGTTTCCACAAGAAAAATCAATGGGGAAGCCAATAGGTAGTTGGAACTTTTGTTCCCACTAATTTTTTTTTCCTGTTCATGGTCATTCTATTGCTCTGCTATGATAAGGAAATATCTCTGAAACAATGATCTAATAGATAATGAGTTGTAGAAAATACCATTAATAATATCAAGATGTAAAGAAATATGATAGCTAATATTTCACTTTATTTTAACATTCTTTCTATTTTGTACATTCTGAAAGTTCACTGCCAGATTTTCATCAACATAGAAATATTTTAAATATAATTTATAATGACCTATTCAGAAATTTTCCTACAAACATTGTAGCATTTTGACACTCCATCCCAGGGATAAAAATCCATATATATTCTGCTTGGAAAGAACTAGGCTTCTGGGAGGGATTATTTGTGAATAATAACTGCTGTGCAATGTGCTGGATGACAATTCTTATATATAACCAGAGCATCTGGGCTATGACAATGAAGCCAGTTTGTCTGTGATAGTCTTTTACCATAATAAAGATTTGATTAACTTAGTATGTCAGTGAAAAGAAAAGAGGCATTGATATAAGATGAGCTGCTGTCTGAACAGCATATTGATCATTGGCAACCATGTAACTTCTATGGTAAGTAGGTGTCTTAGTTTTGTGAAAAAAATTAATAAAATATTTCATATATTTAATCTAACTTAAAATCTCCAAATTCAATTGAAAGAAATATGTTTTCATTAACATTTGTTAACATTCCAGCAGAAAACAATTCTTATTCTTAAGCTTTAAACCCTCCCCCAACATTTATAGCCTTTCTAGTAATTCATTCATATAGAATACATAATTATGATGATTCTAAACCAAAAATGCTACTAGCAATATCATAAGAACAGCTAATCTGACTCAAATCAAATATCTGAAATGCATATCATTTTCTACTCGCATTATCAAATGGGTGAAACTTAATACTTGGAAATTTCCATAACAAACCGAACAACCTACTATATTTATAGATGATGCATAGCCACCTTTTTGCAATGTTCTTAAAATCCCTCCACCAAAAGTACTGATGTATTGATACATAAGAGCATTCCTTCATTCATGAGATCTTATCAAGTTAGTGCAAACATGCAATCAGGACTGCTATCAAGATAATAATTGTTTATCATGAATTTTGGTTAGATCAAACATAAGGATGGCTAAGAGAATCATATTAAGAAATTAGAAAAGTGGTATTATTCCAGATGGCAAAGGATGGTTGTTAAAAAGGTGTGATCTCATTGCTATGCATCATTTAGTAATTACTACTAAATAGACAAGTCTTTTGATGCTTATTGCAAATGTAGTTACCCATTATAACAGTTAATTAAATAATAAATTTAGAAAAACAATACTGATTTCCAAATTATTTTATTATATAATTATCATCCACCTTACTTACTGCTTACCGATCAATAATGGCACACATATCAATGCTAATATTGGCAAAACTTCCCAACTTTCTTTGCTCTATTGCATGTAAATCCACCAATTGATCATCCACATGAATAAACTGCATACAGCCCTGGAATGACCGCTGAAGAAAACCTGGAAAAAAATAGAATAGTCAATAGGCAGTTCAAGAAAATATACAGTTGTCATAACAAAGAATCTATTCTTTTCCTTAACAAAATATATTTTGCTAGAAACCCATAAAATTGTGAAAAATTGAACCAGAAGACTTTCAAAAGCAAAAAAAAATAAAAAATCATGATAGAAACTTCAACAGTATTTTTGCTAAAGTTGTAAACATGCCAGAAACCTAGTATCATATGTTAAAAATGTACTGTTGTTAAATCACAGATTATCATTTCAAAAGTCGTTAGTGTGATAAAATCCCCTGGGGTAATTTAAAATATCAAATTAAATGCTTCATAATATGACCTCATGTGTTCAGCAGCACTACATCCTAAACCTTGAATCTCCAAATACCTATGCAAGGGTCTACAATTAAATCAGCTAGCGGTACCTGAATATACTTGTAAGTAGATCATAAGCTTCCTAACAGACAGGAAGCAGCAGGTGAAGCTAGACAGAATCACGTCTGATATCTGTACAATTAGCACAGCCCCCCACAAGGCTGTGTGCTTTCTCCACTTCTCCTTATATACCAATGACTGCATCTCAAATGATCCATCTGGTAAAATACTGAAGTTTCCTGATGACACAACAGTGATTGGTCTCATTCAAGACAACAACGAATCCGCATACAGACAGGAGGTTGTACAACTTGCCTCATGATGTGACCGGAACAATTTGGAACTGAACACACTCAAAACCATAGAAATGGTGGTAGACTTAAGAAGAAACCCTCCCATACTGCCACCTCTTACAATACCAGACAACACTATATCAACAGTAGAGACCTTCAAATTTCTAGGTTCTATTATATCACATGACCTAAAATGGACACCTAACATCAAAAACGTCATCAAAAAAGCACAACAAAGAATATTCTTTCTGAGTCAACTCAAAAAGCTCAAACTGCCCAAGGAACTGCTGATACAGTTCTACAGAGGAATTATTGAGTCTGTCATCTGCACCTCTGGTTTGGTTCTGCAACCCAACAGGACAGACACAGACTTCAGAGGATAATTAGGACTGCAGAAAAAACAATTACTACCAACCTGCCTTCAATCGAGGACCTGTATACTACATGAGTCAAAATGAGAGCTGTGAAAATATTTACAGACTTCTCACATCCCGGACATAAACTGTTTCAACTCCTTCCCTCAAGACGCTATAGAGCACTCCACACCAGAACAACTAGATACAAGAACAGTTTTTTCCTGAACGCCATCACTCTGCTAAACAAATAATTCCCTCAACACTGTCCAACTATTTACAAAGTCTGCACTACTATTAATCTTCTCATCACTCCTTATTTGCCATCCCCTCCCACTTGTGACTGTATTACTGTAACCTTTCGCTTGTATCCTTATGATTTATATGGACTGTTTCCTGGTATGATTATACTGCTTATTGTACCCTATGACTATCATTAAGCATTGTACCTTATGATTCTTGACTCTCAGCGAATGTATCTTTTCTTTTATGTATACAGAGAGCATTTGCACCAAGACAAATTCCTTGTGTGTCCAATCACACTTGGCCAATAAAAGAATTCTATTCTATTCTATTCTATTCTATTCTATTCTATTCTATTCTATAAAATCCCCCGGAGTAGTTTTAAGATAACAAATTAAATGCTACATAATATGACCTCATGTGTTCAGCAACCTTTTTCTAATACATGAATTATTTACAAAAGTTTAAAGATCTTTAGTTGCAATTAAGTTGCAATTAAGAAACAGATCATAATTGATTGGCCTAAGATTCAACTCCAAATTAACAGTAACCCAGATCCTGTTTATTTCAATAGGACTCAGCGAGGAAGAACTTCCCAGTGGAAAATAATCCATCTGTTAGAAATCAAATCTCCTAACTGCAGTAGAACCTAGTTTTGCAGCATTGCCTCAACAAGAAAAACCTGTTCAGCTTTTCTCAGGTTATTTTATTCTGTATTAACAGAAACCATTTTGGTTTATTTATATTTTCCATTTAAATATGCACATAATAAAATTACAAATTGAAACAAGGGCTACATAGTATTTGTAATTTAAAACAAACTCTCTAATGTACATAGTTTCCCCTTTTTTCTATTATCTGTTCTACAATGCCTTATTTATTAACCACTTAATAGGATTTTGTAAATATTAAAAAGTTATACAAATAATACAAACATTCTTTATAAATATATAAATGATAAACCCCTATTTTAACTATCCCATTCCTCTTTTCGCTCTCTTTCTCTTGGTCTTCATTTAGAGTAGTCTTTCAATATACATAAGTGTTTTTTCAAAGTCCACTTTGCAAGAAGGGGAATTGAAATTGTAGCTGACTTACAATTCAAAACACACACAAGATGAACCAAGGGTTCATGTGTTTGTAATCAAATGACAATAGTTCTGCTTTCTAGTGATTTTAAAATAAAGAAGAAACTACTGCTACACCTGTAAAACATTCTTGTTTCATGAAAAAAGTATTTGGATATAGTCTTATTAAATAAATAAAAACTGGAGGGAACCACATTGAATTCAGGAGGTTCTAATAAGCTTTGGTTAGGATGTGACGATTCTCTGTGAAACTATCACTCAATTCACAGTTTAAAGTTCTCCTGCACATTAATATTAAAGAATGGAGTTATGCCAAAGTCACACCACTAAAATCAATTTAAAGAAAGTGCATCTAGTCTTAAATACTCAGAAAATATCAGCAAGGTTCTGCAAAATATTTGTTTGTTGCTTCGGTTTTTAAAGTTTTTCTTTCACCTTGAGGGCCAGCTGTAATACTGAGTAACATGCAATTATTTATGAAGCAAAAATTCTTGCTATGCTTACAATACCTGAGTTACAGATCTCAGATATTAATTTAAAGCCATTTATTTCTGTATGAGTGGCCTTCAGCCATGTAAAATAACATATAAATGTTTAAAAATGGTAAAAGTCTTAAAAAATAAATGAACAGTTACACATAAAGTATTTAAACAAAGTGAAATAAGATGAAAACCACAAACCAAGGAAGATTTAAAATTGTCCAAGCAAGAAATGAATAACATTAAATAGATATTCTTAGAATAAGTAGTTCAAAAAACCTGTTAGGTGTCTGGACATGAGTCATTCAAAGGAATAGAGTGTTAATATAGTGGAAAAGTTATCATCATTATGTAATGGCTATAATACAATAGTAGTATATAAGGGTCAGTGGCTATGAGTGAATATAAGCTCTTCTGCAGTAGAGGGATTCAAATAATTTAACAACCTGTTCTCTGCCCTAATGACCAGCTGAGTAGGCATGGTTGATGGTCATGTGACTGGGTGGGTGTAATCAGCTGAACATCACTCACCACGCATTTAAGGTCATATTATGTAGCAGTTATGCCTCCTGGCCACTTGCCTCAAAGACCTCAACAAGATACAATCTCTATTTATTAGCTATTACTGAACATCACTTAATAGTGGCAATTAAAATAACAAAACTCACTTAAATCTTGCTTAGCAATGGAAATTTTGGCTCAGTTGTGGCCGTAAGTTGAGGACTACCCTTAATGATAATTTTTTGTTTAAGGAGCCTACTTCACTCATCCCTTTGAGATGACTTGTAAGAAACATTTCAAGATGAAAGATTTTGGGTGCAAGGTTGTGTTGGTGTTGCCTAAGCTAGTCCGCTTCTCTCCTCAGTTGGTGGGGCAGCTACCCTTGACTGAGGGCCACTAGAGGAAGGTGGGGAATCAGAACGAGGATGGCACTCATGGCAAGAAGATCCTTCGGTTGCTTCTCACGCAAGGAACTAGGTGCTACCTGGCTCCCTTGGGAGCGAGGGAGAACAATAAGGCCACCCAGCTAGCAGACCACTCACTCAATTGCTTTGCTCTCCTGCCTCTGCTCTTGCAAGTTTCATTGCCTTCTCACTTCCTGGCTCCTCTTGTTCCAGAAGTACTCCCCTCTCTCTAGCAGATGCCCCCTTCTCCTTCTTCCTCCTCACTGCCAGGCGATCCCGTGTGAAGGGGATAGCCACACTTTTTAAAAAGGACTTTTAATGGAACTTCCAATGTGATGGCCAAGATTCAATCCCAAGCCAACACCCCCCCCGCTCTTCCCTCCCCACCTCACACATCTGCTTTGCTCACTAAATTGAGTCTAGAGCCTGGGGAAAGATGAGAAATTTAAATGAGCAGGAGGAGGGAAGGACAGAAAACCAGCAGAGTGAGTTCCTTAGCTTGGACCAGCAAAAGGCAGCGGGGGGCTGCCCATGGTAGGGAATACAAAGGCCAATTGGAGAGATGAAGCAGTGCTTGGTTTCAAAGAAAAATTTGCTTCAGGGCATGGGGCGCAACTAATTTCTAAAACAGAAGATCCTGCTAAGCTCCAGAACCTACAAAACAAGCCACGGTGTTCAGGCCATGCACCCATGCATCCTGCCTTTCTGAAGGATACACTGCTCACCACCCTGCTTGCTTCCACATGTTTTCACCAGTCTCACTCTTCTCTGGATCATCTCACTTACCTCTGCCCCATTCCCCTCCTTCAGAGACTGCTTACTCACTCTCCCTGCTTTTTCATCCATGACCACCACTTTCTTCATCCCCCCACTCCCCCCACTACCTGGCTTTAGCTTGTGGAGTGACTAGGACTGGGAGAGTCAAACCGTTTTTTTAGGTGGCTGCCTTTGCACAGGGTCGGATGTCAGGAAGTCGTCTCCTCCTTCTTGGCCTTAAACATATACACAGAGAAACATGCACACATCTCATGGTGCCAGAGGGACTTGCCCACACCCCAGAGTGCCAAGAGGCTGAATTTCATGATGCACTCTAGGACCTTCTGTGAGGAGACAGCATGTGGGCGAGTCTCTCCAGTGCCATGAGATGTGTGTGTTTGCTCTGTGCGTATGTTTCAGGCCAAGAAGGAGGAGATGACTTGGCTGAACTTTTCCTACTTCCCTTCACAGTTGAAGCTGTTTGGAAGGTAGCTGCCATGGCCTGTCCTTATTTGACACTACCTGTTGTCTGGCCCTTTCCAAAACAGCCAAGTAGGGAAGGATGGTGAGAGACAGGCCCAAAAGACAACTGAACCTGGCCATGTCCACTCTGAGGCAGCCTTTCAGCTGAGTGCCTTACTTCATGGGCAGCTGTGGTGAGTAGAGTGGCTAAGGCACAAAAAGACAAAGGAAAGACAATGATTTTGTTAGAGATGAATCCAGATGATTTTTATCTAAGATTCCAAAATGTGGAGGAAGAAAAAGGAGAAAATCCAGAGATAATGACAGAAATGCAGAGATAATGACAGAAATATTAGCAGAAGCTATGGAAATACCAAAAGAAAGAATGATGGTTAGAATTGATGAAGTATTCCAAGTGTACACCAGATATGCAATGAGAAATAAGTTACCTAGAGAAGTACACATGAGATTAATTAAGAAGGCAATTAAAACAGAAATATTACAGAAAGCAAGGGATGACCCATTGAAATATAAAGGGAAGTGATCACAGTCTTAAAACAAGTACCAAGAAGAGTGAGAGACGTGAGAAGAGAATACTAATTCTTGACAAAGATTCTAATTAAGAAAGGAGTGAATTATAGATAGCTAATTCCATAAGTTTTGATGTTCATCTGGCAAGTACAAAGACATAGATTGGACTCAACAGAAAAAGCAGAGCAATTTTATGATTAATACTTCAGAGGAAAAGAAGAAGAGAGAATAAAAGTTGGAGAAATAATTAAACTTTGAGAGGAGATGGTTGAAGAAAGGGATAAAGAAAAAAAGAGAAGAAGGAAAAAGAGAAGAAGGAGCAATTAGTGGAAGGGTGGAACCAAAAGAGCTAAGAAAACAAAGGACAACAAGAGCCATAAATCCTAAATATAAAGTTTAAATAATGGCAGAAGAGAAGAAATTAATGTCTATAAACATAAGTGGACTGAATTTGGCAATCAAAAGGAAAAAGACATTTCACAAATTAGAAAAAATAAAATTAGATATAATATGCTTACAAGAAGTACATATTAAAAAACAGCATGTACAAATATTAGATATAATATGCTTACAAGAAATACATATTAAAAAACAGCATGTACAAATATTGGACTATCCAAGACTTGGTAATTTGTATGCATCATTGGTGCAACAAAATAAAAGAGGAGTAGTCTTATACTGTATATTAAGAATACAATAAAAGCTAAATTAATCTTTACAAATGAAGAAGGGAGGATATTGATGACGGGAATAATAGACAATAATCAGAAGATACTTTTAATTGCAATATACAGATGAAACTCAAAAAATTAGAATATCTTGCAAAAGTTCATTTATTTCAGTAATGCAACTTAAAAGGTGAAACTAATATATGAGATAGACTCATTACATGCAAAGCAAGATAGTTCAAGTGGTGATGTGTCATAATTGAGATGATTATGGCTTTCAGCTCATGAAAATCCCAAATCAACAATCTCAGAAACTTAGAATATTGTGAAAAGGTTCAATATTCTAGGCTCAAAGTGTCCCACTTTAATCAGCTAATTAAGCCATAATACTTGCAAAGGGTTCCTGAGCCTTTAAATGGTCTATCAGTCTGGTTCAGTAGGAATTACAATCATGGGAAAGACTGATGACCTGATAGTTGTATAGAAAACCATCACTGACACCCTCCATAAGGAGGGAAAGCCTCAAAAGGTAATTGCAAAAGAAGTTGGATGTTCCCAAAGTGCTGTATCAAAGCACATTAATAGAAAGTTATGTGGAAGGGAAAAGTGTGGAAGAAAAAGGTGCACAAGCAGCAGGGATGACCGCAACCTGGTGAGGATTGTCAGGAAAAGGCCATTCAAAAGTGTTGGGGACTTTCACAAGGAGTGGACTGAAGCTGGAGTCAGTACATCAAGAGCCACCACACACAGACGGATCCTGGACATGGACTTCAAATGTCATATTCCTCTTGTCAAGCTGCTCCTGAACAACAAACAACGTCAGAAGCGTCTTACCTGGGCTAAAGAAAAACAGAACTGGTCTGTTGCTCAGTGGTCCAAAGTCCTCTTTTCTGATGAGAGCAACTTTTGCATCTCCTTTGGAAACCAAGGACCCAGAGTCTGGAGGAAGAATGGAAAGGCACACACTGCAAGATGCTTGAAGTCCAGTATGAAGTTTCCACAGTCTGTGTTGATTTGAGGAGCCATGTCATCTGCTGGTGTTGGTCCATCATGCTTCATTAAGTCCAGGGTCAACACAGTCGTCTACCAGGAGATTTTGGAGCACTTCATGCTTCCTTCCGCAAATGAACTTTATGGGGATGCTGACTTCATTTTCCAGCAGGACTTGGCACCTGCCCACATTGCAAAAGCACCAAAACCTGGTTCAATGACTGTGGGATTACTGTGCTTGATTGGCCAGCAAACTTGCGTGACCTGTACCCCATAGAGAATCTATGGGGCATTGCCAAGAGAAAGATGAGAGACATGAGACCGAACAATGCAGAAGAGCTGAAGGCCGCTATTGAAGTATCCTGGTCTTCCATAACACCTCAGCAGTGCCACAGGCTGATAGCTTCCATGCCACGGCACATTGAGGCAATAATTGCTGCAAAAGGGGCCCACACCAAGTACTGAGTACATATGCATGCTTATACTTTTCAGAGGTCCGATATTGTTCTATGTACAATCCTTGTTTTATTGATTGCATGTAATATTCTAATTTTCTGAGATTGTAGATTTGAGGCTTTAATGAGCTGTAAGCCATAATCATCACAATTATGACAAATCATGGCTTGAACTATCTTGGTTTGCATGTAATGAGTCTATCTCATATATTAGTTTCACCTTTTAAGTTGCATTACTGAAATAAATGAACTTTTGCACGATATTCTAATTTTTCAAGTTTCAGCTGTATGCACCAAATGATAAGCAAGAGTTGTTTTATAGAAAAACTACACAAGAAAATAATAGAACTGGAATATGACAATATATGTATTCTAGGAGACTTTAATGCGATAGTGGATACAAAGGGGACTACAAAACACAGATAATAAAAAAAACAGAAAGACACTACTGAAATCTTTTTTCAAGATGGCAGAGGAACTAAGTATTCAAGATGTTTGGAGACAACTGAATACCAAGAATAGACAATATACATTTTATTCAAATAGGCATTTACCATGATCAGGAAGTAATACGATTTGGATGTCAACAGAATTGATCTCAAATGTACAAGAAATAAACACCGAAACAAGTACTCAGACAGACCACAATCCTATATGAGTCAAATGGAAGAGACAAAAGAAAAGACCAGGATGAACTTTGAATATTTCAATCTTGAAGGAACAAAAATTCCTAAAAAATATAGAAAAAAAAATGGCTTTCTTCTTTAAAGAAAATAAAAAAGAGGAAACTTCACTACAGAATGTATGGAATTCTATGAAGGCTTATATCAGAGGACTGATTATAACTTATACAAGAAGGAATATTAAAAAACACAAGCACAGCAGATACTAGAAGAGGATTATAAGAAATTAGAGAAAGAACTACAAAGATATCCGTAACAAAAGAAACTTAAAAGACTAATGGAAATAGTCAAGCACAAGTTGGGGATAATAGAAAACGAAGAAGTGGCACAAAAAATTAGGAGAGCTAAACAGAATTTCTTTGAAAATGCAAATAAACCAGGAAGATGGCTAGCATATAAATTGAAAAAGGAGAGGGAGCAAAAAAGGATACTGCAACTAATAGATGAAAATGGAACTGTTTGTTATGAGAATGAAGAAAAGAAAGAAATAGTACAAATGTACTATGAGAAATTATATGATCAAGAGATAATTGAAGAAGAAAAAGTTAAACAATATTTGCAAGATTCAGAATTACCTAAAATAACAGATGAAATTAAGTCAATGTTAGAAGGGAAAATAACAATGATGGAATTGACAGAGATGATAAATAGGCAAAACACTGGAAAGTTCCTGGCCCTGATGGACTACCAGCAGAACTATATAAGACATTACAAGAATTTTTTGATACAATTTTTTGATGTTAGAGGTAATGAATGAGGTATTGACAAAGGCAAAAATACCCAATTCATGGATGGAGGCATATATTGCTCTTATACCAAAAGAAAACTCGGATTTACAACAGATAAAAAAACTATAGACCAATATGTCTGCTGACTGCAGACTATAAAAGATTTGCCTCAATTATGGCAGAAAGACTAAAAAGATATTTAAATCATTTTATACATACAGATCAAAATGGTTTCTTGCCCAAGAGACAAATAAAAGATAATATGAGGATAATATTGAACACACTGGAATATTATGAAGCACATCCAGAGAAGCAAATGGCATTAGTATTTTTGGATGCACAGAAAGTGTTTGATAATGTAAATTGGCAATTTATGTTGATGCAAATGGAAGAGATGGGTATTGGGGAAAGGTTTATTAAAATGATTGAGGCAATATATTAGAAACAATCAGCAAAAGTAATGATAAATAGAGACTTGACTGGGAATATTAACATTAAAAAAGGATCTGGACACCTGCATAACTGGGTAGAAGCATTCCTGTCAAATAAATAACAAATGGTCAAAATTGGGAGTACCCTATCAAATTCTGTACCTGTCAATAGTGGTGTCCCCCAAGGCGGTGTTCTTGGACCAATTCTCTTCATACTCTACATAAACGATCTCTGTGATCATATTAAGAGCAACTGCGTTCTCTTTGATGATGATGTAAAGCTATTCAACACCACAGACAATACTGCTACCCTTCAAAAAGACCTCAACCATGTATCAGAATAGTCAAACAAATGGCAACTTCAAATCTCAACAAATAAATGCTCTGTCTTATATATTGGCAAAAAAAATCAGAAAATAAAATACAGGTTGAATAGTCAAGACCTTGTTGATGATCCAAACTCTGTCAAGGATCTTGGAGTACTCATCTCTAATGATCTAAGTGCTAGAGCCCACTGTAACTACATAGCCAAAAAGGGATTAAGAGTTGTTAACCTAATCTTATGTAGCTTTTTCTCTGGTAATACTACACTACTAACTAGAGCATACAAAACATTTGCTAAACCAGTACTCGAATACAGCTCATCAGTCTGGAACCCACATTACGTATCTGATATTAACACAGTTGAGAAAGTCCAGAAATATTTCACAAGAAGAGTTCTCCACTCCTCTACTCATTGCAGAATACCTTATGCCACTAGACTTGAAATTTTAGACCTAGACAACCTAGAACTACGCCGCCTTTGGTCCGATCTAAGTATAGTACATAAAATTATATATTGCAATGTCCTACCTGTCAATGAATACTTCAGTTAAACCACAACAATATAAGAGCACATAATAGATATAAACTCAAGGTAAACCACACCAAACTTGACTGCAGGAAATACGACTTCAGCAACAGAATGGTCAATGTCTGTAATACTCTACCTGACTCTGTGGTTTCTTCCACAAACCCCAAAAACTTTGACCTCAGACTGTCTACTATTGACCTCACCCCTTTCCTAAGAGGTCTGCAGGGGCCGTGCATAAGCGCACCAACATGCCTACTGTCCCTGTCCTATTGTTTCTTCTATTTTTCTTATATGTATCCATGTATTCATAACTATGTTTTTACTTATACCTATTATCTTGTAAGCAATTGACAAACCAAATAAAATAAAAATAAATATCCCCTGTCACCATTGCTGTTTGTAGTGACTTTGGAAGGGTTAAATAGAAACATTAGAAAAAATAAGGAAATGAAGGGAATGAAGATAAAGAATGAAGAATATAAACACTTAAGGAGGATAATTATTATAGACTAAAACAACAGATTGTGACATACTTTAAAAAAAAAGAAAAATCTACAACAATCTTTGATAGGAAGAATATCGACAATCAAAATGAATATATTACCAAGAATATATCTATTTCAGAAAATCCCAATAAAGTGGGGAAAGAGTATTTTGAGGACTTGAATAAAATGATGTTGAAATATATATGGCAGGGGAAAAAGGATTAAATTAAAATTGCTACAAGATACTAGAATGAGAGGAGGTTTTGGACTACCCAATTGGGAATTATATTATCAGGCCATAGTATTGATGTGGATGAAAGAATAGATTGTTTTAAGAAATACTAGGCTGTTAATATTGGAAGGACATGATCTGCAATTGGAGTGGCATGCTTTTTTATGGTATAAGGAAAGTAAGGCACATGGTTACTTTTGACAACATTATGTATGAGATGCATTATTGTCAACATAGGAGAAAATAAGGGAGGAACATTATTTGAAAATACCAGTCTGGTTAGGCACTTGTATATCCAAATGTTTTTAAAATGGAATACATTGTTAGATATATTTTAAATGAAAAGGGTGAACTCAAAACAAAGCAAGAATTAGATGAACAAGGGATGAATATGAATTGGTATTCATATATGCAAATACACTCTAGATATGAGAAAGATGTTAAGACGGATGGGTTTTATGAAGAATTGACAGAATTAGATAAAATTTTAACAGGTACTGAAGAGAAAATGATTTAAAAAATGTATGGCTATTTATTAGGAGTGAAATTAGAAGAAGAACAAGTTAAAGAAATGATGGTTGCTTGGGAGGAAATTTTTGGATATGGGATAGATTTGGATAAATGGCAGAAATTATGGAATAGAAATTATAAATTAACAATATCAAAAGCCTATAAAGAGAATATAAGATGTTTTACAGGTGGCACCTTCTTCCGGCAAGATTGGCAAAGATGTTTAAAAAGAATAGAATACTTTATTGGCCAAGTGTGATTGGACACACAAGAATTTGTCTTGGTGTAAATACTCTCAGTATACATAAAGGAAAAGATACATTCATCAAGAGTTGAGAATCATAAGGTACGACACTTAATGATAGTCACAGGGTACAATAAGCAATCAAATCATACTAGGAAACAGTCAATATAAATCATAAGGACAAATCAGCAAAATGTTGGAAGTGTTACCAGATACCTGGATCATATTACTATATGTGGTGGACTTGTGCAGAAGCTAAAAGATATTGGACTAAAATACACACATGGTTGGAAAAAATGATAAAACAACATATAGATTTAAAGCCTGAGATATTCTTACTGGGGATTTATCTGAAAACTATAGTAAAGAAATAACATATTTGATTATTCATGTATTAGCAGCATCTAGAATTGTATTTGTTCAAAATTGGAAAAATGAAAAAATTCTGATGGAGGAGGAAGTGATTAAGAAAATAATGGAATGTGCAGAGATGAGTAGGTTAATTCTGGCAATTAGAGAGCAAAAAGAGAAGGAGTATTATAAGATTTATGATTTATTTTATGGATGGTTAGAAAGTAGAGTGTTGAGGTATTCCCCGTTAGGAGAACGAGTGCACTCAAGGAAAAGTAGTGAGAGTGGTGTTGAATAACACACAACCAACACACAGATACACTGAATAGTAAAATGTAGGTTTTACTTCCAGTAAACAAGTAAACAAAGTCCAACAAACATTCCAAATCATACACGGTTAAAGCAGGTAGTATTCAATACAATCAGTCCAGGGATAATCCCAAAATGAAGTCCAGTATCATAAACAAAGTTCAGTAAACGGAGTTTGCTAGCAGTTATAAGACTCACAGAAATCCAAGCAGAATGACGATCAGGCAAAAGGCAACAAGGAAATGAAAGAAGAGAACAAAACCAGGTTTCTGGCTTCATCTTATGGCCATCGGAGGAACCTTACCCAATCACAATTACAACATTCTCTTAAAGATACAACAGTATTAAATGACTATCATGGTTTCAACAGTTAGGTGACTATCATTCCTAACATAGAGTAAAAATTTAAAGGATATAGTAATAATGACATATTGCAAATGATTATTTTGAATAAGTCATGACATGAACATAAGAGTTGGATTTGCTATTAAAGATAGATGGTAATTGTAATAAAAAACCTAATGATATTGTAATAATGATAAAATATGATGTATAATGTTGACTAGAATATCATATGAATGTAAATTCAGTGAGAAATGTATATAAATATTTCTATGTGCACAAGATACACGTACACAGATGGTACAATGTATAACTGAAAGATGTTTTTTATTTGTTGTTTTTGTTGTAAAAATAAAAATATATTAAAAAAAACAACCCACTGAAACCAAATTGGCTACAAAATAGAAAATGGAATAGAGGAGTATAATTCAGTCAACCAAGTAACTTCCAAATGCAGATTGTGAAGCACATCATAAATTATTGGTGGCAAATATTCATTTTTAAAAATTAAACAGTGAACTGAGATGATTTAGAAAATGATAAAGGGCCCCATCAAAACTGAAACAAGAAAAATAAAATGGTTTTCAGAACAAAACATTATAACAGACAGAGTAAAAGGACATATTAATATCTTGGGCAATAAGAAAGATGAATGACTGAAGAGAATAATGCAAAATTCTAGGGAAAAATATAGATCAGGAATGCCTGATGGATAGAACAAAATAGCAAGAAAAAGAAAATGGGAGATGTTTTTAAGAAGATCAGATAAATCACAGGTTTTCCTGTGTAAAGTAAAATTATAAGAATAGTCATGAAAGATAACATATAGAGGTAAATAGGAAGTTCAAAAGAATATCCTGGAACTTCTTGCAAGTATATTAATAAAATGAAAACATATCTTAGGAAGAAATATCACTGAGTATTGTCTTAGTGACAGAGTTTTATCATTTCAACACTATAACTCTAGTTTAGCAGGAAGTTTACATATAGCAAACTCAGGGTTGATGGCATAGTTTGGATTTCATCTTAGTAAATATAATGTAGTTTTGTAATTTCTATTAGAAATCAGAAATTGGTGTAACCATAAATTAAAATCCAGATTCGATAGAATTGTGATGGGCAAATATAGAATTTGAGTAAATAAATAAATTTATTAAACTTCTGATTTTGAAACACTACTTCAGGTTTTGTTAGCTTTGAATAAGAGTTTTAAAAAAGAAATAAAACTGATCTACAGTTACAGTTTTCCTGTGGCAGAGAACATAAATAAAATTTAGATATTATATTATGCACATAACATAAACAATTTTCCTGTAGAATTCTCTTCTCCTTAAGGAGGGAGAGAAAAAGAGGGAGGGAGGGGGGGAGGGAGAGGTCCCTTCCTTAAGCAAGCAGCAACAGCCAATGAGGGTACTTCTCTTTGACAGTTCTGCAAGCTCTCTGTCATAGCAACTACAGAAACAATCTACATCAGTCAGGAGAAGAAAAACAGAGGGATCATATACTGATTGCTCCATGGCATCCTCCGAGCACAAAAAGCCACTCACCCATGCTGCCTTACGTGAGAAATTACTGAAGGAAGAAGAGGTAGGACTTATGCTGAGACTAATAATACAAAGAAAAACTGTATTGGTGTTTAATACTTGTATTAAGATAGCCAGAAAGGCAACAAATATAGTAAAAATACAAACAGTAAAAGAAACAAAAAAGAGTCCTATTCGTCTATCTAAGCTATAAATTCCAGTGAATACAGTTTGAATATATTATCTAAAGCTATAAATATTTTCTAATTAGCTTTCAGTTCAATTTCTTTAGTTAAACAAAGCTAAAGTTTAATTTAACCCGGCATTTCATTATTTCCTTTTTCCCTACCCCTGCATTTTCTCTTCTTTTTTCCCCCCTGTCTTTACCTGCTTGGGAAGCCTAAGCTAGAAATTCAACTACATCAACCCTGGATATTGAACATGTGTGTGAAAATGTGGAAGACCTATATTAATTAAAATTAATTAAAATATAATTAATTAAAATTAAACTTTATTCACATATAATGAAGTTCCAGTACATTTTTAAAAAGATCACTCCAAGTAAAATTCAGATTCTTCTGAGAAATGTAATCTTTTTTTTTTTAATCTTGTAATTCGTATAGTTTGCCTGAAGGAACTGTCAAAACAATTACACATTATGTTTAAATGACTTTTACAGAGAGAGTTATTAGTTTATGCTGATTATTTTAAAAACTTCTTTTCAATGCATGCAACTTCATAAGAAATTAGTATGTCATACAATCATGTAAATTTGATCACATTCTCACATTCAGTTGGAATATAGCAAAGAGGAGAAGGATAATATCATTTAGGGAGTAACCAGATTTTATCAACATTCTGGATTCAGGAGTCTGGGCCACTTTTATAGCTAGACTAAACAACTTGCTAGAAGTTTTTCCCATATATACTATTAGGAAGGAGTTATGTCAGTTTATCTTAGTTCCTAAAAATAATATGAATAATAACTTTTTCATGTATGGAATGATGAATATAATGTTACAAATTCAAATTATGATGAAAAAATGGAATTTAAATGTGTTCCCTGAATCAAATTCTGCTATAAAATAACGATTTTACTAGGATTACCTGCTTTTAGATATGTAAAATTTATATTTAATGTATTGCATATTACATAGTTAATCATAACATCCCAACAAGTATTATCAATATGCTTAATTAAATTCTTTAATTCTTAAAGATGTACAGCCCTGAGATTCTTGCAATTAAATCTAATGTATGCTTGCATATGAAATTAAAAAATAATTATTGCTAGCAAATGAGTAATAATTTGGTTTTTTTGTGAATATCCCAGGCAAATTATACATCTTATTTTATATTTTAACTCACTTTCAATTTTCATTAACTTTAGTGGAGATAGATCATAGAGGAAGGGTTCCTAAGTTATCCTTACAAAGCCAACCATGGAACTATTTGGTAGCCTTTAAATCAGGTATGCCCAACCCATTTTGCAGGCCATATGCAGCCCTGGACAGCAACTAATGTAAACTCCACAAGAACATAAACATTTAACATTATTAGTGATTTATATACATTAACTATATTGTATATTTGATATATACAGGACAATTTCTTTTCACTCAGTGGGATGCAGAAAAGCCAAAAGGTTGGGCTTTAAATTGACCCCCTGCATTCTGGTCATTTCTCCATAAGAAAAAAATGAAAAATATTTGCTTTAAACTAAGCCAGCCATGAAATATGATCAGTCATGTCTAATCCTTCTGTCTCCAAACATAGGAAGAAAAAACAATGTTTCTCAGCAGCATTATGAGTGTTATGGAGAACGCTTTCATATTCCTCAAGTTTGAAAAAATATTATTCATTTAACTAACCTCAAAACGTTAAGAATATTTTATTTTTAATTTGCATTTCATATTTCTAAGCCACCCATCTCCCTCAGAAAGGGGGTCTTCTTGCATTCTTCAAGCTCATACCAAGAGTGCACAAAATTTAGCATCCAGTTAGCAAGTAATTTTAAAAAGAATTGGCCTAGCTGTGCAGGAGTTTCAAACTCAGTTTTAAGGATGAGTAAAAAGACACTAAAAAAAGCTTGAAAGCTCAAAGCAGCTTAAAATATATATTTTAACTAGTTGAAAAGACTTTTTCTTGCCATTACAAATATTTTAAAGTAAAAATGGGGTTATTTTGATAAATGATTACACTAAACAATTTTGAATTAAGGATAGTTACTGCTAATTTGAAATATTTTGAACTGAAAAAAATTGGCATAACTTTGATAACATAGTGCTGTATTTTGTGTATTATTGTGTGTGGAAGGAGAAAAGAAAAGAACCAGAGAAGGGCATAGAAATTTAAGATGCCCATCAATAGAAGTAGTTTATTTTTGAAATTTCCGGTTTGAAGGGCTTCGGCGAGAGACAGAAATCCACGATTGTGCGCAGTTTCGGTCTGGGCTTGCCGCTGGAGCACCCCGAGCCAGCTGGTTTCAGGGCTAAGCCACCCCGTAGAGGTGGTGAAGAGGGGGGAGACTGCCAGCAGGGTTGAGGAAAGCTGCATTTCTCCTCCTCAGCTGGCCACTACTCCCTTTCCTGAAGGTGGTTGTAGTGGTGTTCAGAAATGGCCAAGAAGAACTCAACCGGAAAAGAATGTGCAGGAGGAAGATAAGAAGTGAAAGTTTTGGCTGACTGGGTTAAATTGTAAAAGCAACAACTCGGGTACCCTGGAATTTAAACTTACAAAAAAATAACATCGCTCCCAAAGAGTCGGAAGCAGCGAAGGAAAGTGAAAAGGGGAAGGTTTGGCTTTTTTTTTTCTTCTCTCTCCTTCCCTATACTGACAACTAAGAGACTTAAATAAGAAATCGGAAAAATCCACTTTGACATCAATAGGCAATTAAGCTGAAAATAAAACAAAATGCCAAAGGGATAATAAAGATTTCTGGACATTAAAAATTTTCTTTTTCATAAGCAGGAAGGGAGAGAAAAGGAATAATGGCAGGATCTAGAAGAGGGAGGAGACTGCCTGGAATGAAAAAGAATCTAAAGTAAAACTTCAACAAGATTTCTAAAAGATACATTTTAACTGAAACTTGGCAACTAAATAGTAACCCCGGGAAGAGAAAGTGAAAAAAAAGAGCAAAAAAGGAACAACTTGCATGTATTTGGATTATTTAGTGATCTTTGGATTCTTGGTTATTATATTTGAATAACTAAAATCAATTGGGTGGTTGTTTAAAAATTTATACAATGGCACCACTTCTGGATGAATTGAAAATGGAACTTAAGTACAAAGAAGATGCACAAGAAGGGAAGGGTTCTTTTGGCTTCGTTTTTCAATTCTTAGAAATGAAGATTTGGAACTATGAGAAACAACAAGAAAAGACTGCAAAACAAGAAGACTGGGACAAAGAAGAAGCCATCTTTAATGAACAAGCAATTTTATGTGGGGAAGAAAAAGGAAAGGGAGGAAAGAGAATGGAGAATTTAAGACTTAAAAAAACAGCCAAAGAAAAGAAAAATAATTCGAAAAATAAGTATAATACTGGAAAGCAACAGAAGAGGGGAATACAGAAGAGCGAAATAGAGGTAGAGAGACAAGGGGGTAAAAAGGGGAGAGAGAAGAAGAGAGGGAAGAAGGAAAGGAAAAGATGTTACAAAGGACTGGAGCAAGATATAGAGAAACAGGACCTATTTAGAGATAATGGGTGAAAATCTAACTGAAAAAGGGATTCTGTAAAGGTACATAAGATTGTATTGTTATATTAGTAATAGAAATTAGAAAATTGGAAACAACGTATGATTAAAATGTGGGATAAAACAGTTAGTGTAATTTAGTGAAATGTTTGTGAATAAAATAAATGAAATAAAATAAATGAGAAAATTGAATTAGGAAGGAATGGGAACATTTTAATTAGTTAATGTTTTATAAAATATAAGTGAAGGGGGGGGAATTAACTATGGAAAGCTTATAATTGTTCCCATAGAAGTATGATATTTAATTGAAAGGTAATGTTAAATGATAGAATTGAATGGGAATGGAATGTTGTTTTAATTATATACATTTATAATATTTTTTTTTAAGAATACAGTGTGTATTTTAAGAATGTACCAAGCAAAATCCAAATGGAAGTTATGTATTATATTGAATGTTACAACTTTAGGGAAAAGATATAAAGGCGTCAAACTCCAATCAGTAACTACAGGAGAAATTTTGTTTAATGAGAAAAGATAATAGATAATTGAAACAGGACAGACAAAAAATATAAATACAATGATTTGAATTGAGATGAGATAATTAAAATAAAATTGAGAAAATTAAAAGAGGGGAGAAGCTAGGCAGAAAATGTAAAATAGTAATAAGATATGGAATAGAATATAAAAAATGAGCATGAACCTGAATTTGTGTCTGTACGAAGAAATGTAACCTGGGATTATGCTACTTTCAAAAAAGATGTTTTATTTGTATTTTTTTTCTCTCTGTGAAAACTCAAATAAAATTTACCAAAAAAAAAAAGAAGTAGTTTATTCTCCAAGGCAAGAATAGGATTCAAATTTCTTAACAACCAGTTCTGTGAGTGTGGCCTAATTTGAGGGTGTGGCTTGGTGGGCATGTGACTGGGTGGGCATGGCTTGTATGTAAATATTGTAAATATTTATGTAAATATTAATTTTTATAAAAAAAGAGCAACTTTTACTCAAATCAGGCAAAGCAGGCAGGCAGATTGAGTTGCTTCCAGAATCACAGATTCACTTAGAGATCTACCATTCTGCAATCTGCTACCTGACTCTGCACTAAAAAATAGAAGCTTTAGTCCTAAGGAACTTTCAGCTCTGCTTTTAGATTAGCTAGAAAGCAAGAAATCCAATGACTTCCTGTTTCTAG